CTATGCCCATTCCACACGGGCGAAGAGTTGATTAGCTATGGTGGGGTTAAAGGGAGGGGGAATCTTACGCAGGGGGTAGGGGGTTGTGAGCGCAGGGCAGGAAACAAGCTAGCACGCGAAGGGTTAAACCGCTTTCCTCTCATTACGAGGGGGCAGCAGGTGGGGAGGCGTCTGAAGTAGGCCTAGCCTACAATTTAATCTTTCCTGCTCTGCCCTGGCTGGTGTTTGGATGGGTGACCACTGGAATCCCAGAGTCGACAGTCTCTTGCCTCGAAAAACTCCAGAGGTCAGCTGTGACTTGAGGGCAGAAAACCAATAGCTGTCATATGACCCCCTGCCTTTCCTAAGGACCACTAGTGAGAAGAAAAAGCTTCATAAGGCAAGGTGGGAAGTGAGCACTGGAGGTCTCTCTCTGATCCGGAACTCCCTGAGACCCAAGTTCAGGAACTCATTTTCCATGTTAACACAATGCAAAGGAGACTTTTGATCATATGTGGCTGTCCAAGGCACACTCCCTCCCCCAACTAGGTAAAGGTTTCCCTTGCTCGAAAGCCAGTTTCCATTTCCAAGCCAAAGAGCCAGCGCTGTCCAAAGACATTTCCGTGGTCATGTGGCCGGCATGACTAAACACCGAGGCGCACAGAACGCTGTTACCTTCCCACCGAAGTGGTACCTATTTATCTACTTGCAATTTCTTGCTTTCGAACTGCTAGGTTGGCAGGAGCTGGGACCAGAGACGGGAGCTCACTCCATCATGCGGCACTCGGGTCTCAAACTGCTGAACTACCGACCTTCTGGTCTGCAGTTCAGCGTCTTAACCACTTGAGCCACTGTACGCCCCCCACTACAGGGTAATTAATGAGGCACTTGGAGCTCGAAATAAATAGAAAAGGAATTATGCTTGCTATCACTATGATCATCTAGGTTAATATGTCTGGATTTCTTCTGTGGGCCGATGCAGCTACCTACAGGACAGGCTCCTGGTTAAAGTGCTGGGTTAGGGATGCCCGGGCTTAGAGGCGCCTGGGTTGGCCCCTCCCACCACCCCACCCCCAGCTGAGCGAGGCCCCAGCGGGGCAAGCGGACCAGGTTCATCCCTCTCCCTGCAGTGGGCAGCAGCTCAGGTGACTGGCTGCAGGCCCGCGGGCCTGTGTCTCCTTCCCTGGACCCCCCTTTCCTCAGCCCTCCCTCCACGCACTCGAGGCCCCGGTGGGCCAAGCCGCCTGGCCTCGTCCATCCCCGCCACCATGGGATGATGGGACAGGCTGGGCCTGGCTCCCTGGCCGGTCTCAGGTGTGGTGGCACAGCGCCATCTCCCTTCATCTGCAGACTGC